TAAGGATGCACATTATACATTGGAAGTGTAACTCTGGTTTTGTAATTATTTGTTACGTAAAATTTATTGTACCATAATATGTTAAAAAAAGAAATGCTAAAATTTCTTTATAATATAAAAACAAGTATCTAAATGTAAATAAAAAATTGAGTTAAAAAATTAAAATGAAAGATTTTCTTCCTAAAAAGTTTGGGTTAAAAACGTGGGTGCACATTATATGTGGGAGCACATTGTGCATTGCAAAATATGGTAAATAAAATTTTAGCTCTGACTGGTGTTGCTCAGTTGCTTGGAGCATTCCCCTGTAGACTGAAGGGTCGTAAATACAATGCCATGGACAGCACATGTCCAGGATGTGGGTTTGGTCTGCAGTTGGGGTGTGTACGAGAAGGTAGCCAATCGATGTTTCTTTCTCACATCAATGCATCTCTCTTCCTCTCCCCCTTCTTCTTTCTCTAAAAGCAATGAAAAAATGTTCTTGGGTGAGGATTAAAAAAAAAACATTTAAAACTTTGAAGGTAGTACTTCATATATCTAGTTTTCGATGTATAACAAAAACTTTTTTAAAGATTTTATTTAGTTATTTTTAGAGAGAGGGGAACGGAGGAAGAAAGAGGAGAGAAACATCAATGTGTGGTTGCCTCTCATACATCCCCCACTGGGGACCTGGCCCACAACCCAGGCATGTGCCCTGACTGGGAATCAAACTGACAACCCTTTGGTTCACAGGCCGGCACTCAATCCACTGAACCACACCAGCCAGGGCTAATAAAAACTCTTTTTGATGTAAAACACTTAAGCTATATACGATATAATCATAGCTTTTATTTTCATTAGAGAGTGCTAGTTGAGGAGATTTTATGTTGGTGTGCATATTACATACATGTATAAATATATTATTAATTCACGCCCTTTGGTGCCAATTCAACAAAACAGGAATCCCCAATTTGGAGTGCAGTGAAAAAGGAAACTTGATTCAGTGTAAAAGAACTCAAACAGCACAGCTGTGGGGAAACACAGTCGTCAGTGGAAAGGGAAGGTGGACTTTCAGAGCCAGAGGGCAGGTGGCTTATATAGACAGAAGTCCCCCACCCTGGTCACTGATTGGTCTGTCCTTATACAGATGAGGACTTGAAGTCTTGGCAGTTTGATTGATCCAAAAGACACTTTCCTGATTGGTCAGAATGGAGCTGCTCCAGTTGGTCAGTGAAGATGTTGATGGAGATACAGCTGTGTAGTTCTGATCGGTGGGGAAAGCCTCAGTCCTATTGGTTGAAATAGGATTCCAGGAACTCCTTTGTAAGGGCTGGCTCAGGTGGCAGAAACACAGTGCAGGCAGGCAGTTCAGTGCAGGCTTTTCTGTGAAGTGCATTTTGTGTGAGAGGTCCCTGTGCTGAAATAGTTGCTAGATTTTGTTTTATAAAATTTGATCCCAGTTAGCCACCAGGGGCCCTTTTTATTGGGTATCTTTTTTCATTGTCACAGTATGCAAACATGAAATGTATTCCATTTCAGACATATCTGAAGGCTTTTTCAGGCAAGATGTTCCATAAATAATAGCACTTCCTAGAAAGGATTCTTATTTGATAGCACAAGCTACAGATTAGGAACTAAGAAATACATTCCAAAATAGCAGAAAATGTTTATGAAAATGCTTTGTAATCTTAAAAGTTATGTAAAAACAATAACCTTCCAGAGGCAAGATTGTATTGTAGCATAGTCTCTAACACGTTGTAGACTCTCAGATGTTTGTGTAGAGGGAACTGACATATTTATGGGCCTTGTTGAGCAAAAATTCCACAGTAACCTATGGTTAGGGTAAAAACTCTGTGTTCCAGCAATTGCCTACAAAATCATTATTTTACAATTAATGATAAAATGAAAGAATCAATCCTATGTTTAGAGCATATCCACCTAACATTTGACAAAAGCATACTCCTATAAAGAAATAGCGTTAACATCAACTCAGAAAATGTCCCCTTGTGTCCCCCAGTCAAGCTCCATCTGCCCCTCCCCTACCCCATCAGTCTTCTGAGTTTTTTCCCATAGATTAGTTTAAGCATTTCTGGAATTTCATATAAATGAATTATGAAATACACACTCTTTTCTGTTAAGGCTTTATTCACTTAGAATATTTTCAAGATTCATCTATGTTTTTACAAATATCAGTAGTTCTTACTGCTGTTGCTGCCTTGTTTTTATTGTATCTGTATACCACAATTTCTTTACCCATTCTCCTGTTGATGGGCACCTGCACTGTTCCCCATTTTTATTTACTATAAATAATGATGGGTGACTTAATTGCCCCTTGCGACAGACGAACCAAGTGTTATAGGGAGCAGGGAAGGAGAGGAACTGGGGAACATTCTCAAGGCTAGTGGTATTTGAGCAGGAAAAAATGAGCAGTAGGGTCCCAGCACAAACAACAACACTGAAATGGGGAATACAGGGTGTACGGAAACTGATAAGCTCTTCAAAGGGATGGTGGAGATATGGGAAAGTGCATGTAATGGGATTCATTAAGGGTAATGCATATTGTCTTTGCGACTTGACTGCCTACTGGAAGATAAGGCTGGAAAAGCAGGTTGAGATCCAGAGGACAGCAATTCCTGGATGGTATGCCAGGCAGTTTAAATTTAGTTTTGTAGTGGAGAGCCATAGAAGTTTTTGAGCTAGGAACATCTTGATGAAATTTCTGCTTTGGAAGAAGTTTGGCAACATTGGAAGGAGTGGCTCTTAAGGGAAGGGAGACTGGAAAGAAGAGGAGAGGGAGAGATGAGCTAATCAGGATCCTGTTTTGAGTCTGGGGCACGATAGGGAGGGCCCACAGTAACAGTGGGTGAGGAAAGAGCTGGGCTGATGGTAGGTAGAAATAAAATGAGCAGGACTGGAGGCTGTTTGGGGTGGCCCAGGGGAGACACTTGCTAAGTTGGTGGAATACTGATCAATGAGGGGTGCATTCCTCTGAAGGAGTAGGACTCAGGGACAGGTGGCCGGCTTCAAGGGTGTGAGCCAGGGTGGCTGGATAGACATTCAGTTGTATAATGGTCAAGGCATTCTCTTCAAGATATTGTCACAAGGTAGTTTTATTTACTTGCAGTAAGTAAAGGAGGGAGGGGTTCATATTCAAGGCTCTGGGTCTTTGAAAGAAGGCTTTGAAGGAAATGTCTATATACACTATTTGGTCAGTTCTTCTTTTCAGTTCACTGCACTTACCTGGCTGAGTTCCTCTCAAGCTCATCCTGTTTATTGCTGCAGCTGCAAAATACTGCGCTACATTTTAACATTTAGCAAGAATAACATTTAGAGCTGTCCAGACATTGAGACCCTTGTCCTATCTAACAATCTTATAATGATAGCGTGCGTGCGCACGCTCGCGCGCGCACACACACACACACACACACACACACACACTTTATCCAGGTTCACCTATTGTTAACACTTTTTTTTTTTTTGCTTTCTATACACACGCTCTCTTCCTTTCCCTCTCCCTCTCTCTATCTGTGTATAGCAGGTCCTCACCATTTCTTTCAACGTTGTTTTATTACAATGTTGAGGAGAGGCTATTGAAACTTAACTTCTGTTTATATCAGTTAGCCTATGGTAAAATTGATTTCACAATATGTCAGTTTGCTTAAAGACGTACAACCTATAGACATCATAAAGTGGGAGGCTTAGACTCTGTGCACCCACTCTGTATTGCGTTCTCTCCCTCCCTTTCACTTTTCTCTCTCCTTACTCCTTCCATCCCCACCCCTCCACCAACACTATTACTTTTTTTCTGAATCATTTGAGAGGAAGTTTGATATATCATGGTCCTTAATTCCCAAATGTTCTAAATAAGGATAGTCTGTAATATAACTATAGTACAGTTATCAACCTTGGCAATTGAACATTGATCTAACATTTAATCTACTGTTTATATCTGTTTTATTATTTGATCTAACGTTATCTTTACAGCTTTCCCCCTCTCCAGTATAAGATTCAGTTGCTATAATATGTTCCATGTAGCTTTCATGTCTCTTTAGTCTTCTTTATGACATCTTCGAAGAACACCAGTCCTGCGACACATTTTTTTTCAGTAAGATACTTTTCCTTTGGGTTTGTGTGATGTTTCTTCATGATTGCATTCAGGTTATACAGTCTTGACCACACAATACTACATAATTTAGTAGCCAGAGTGGTGGTGGTGGTGGTGTTTTTAATACATGTAACATTGAAAAATACTCATTTCCTAGGGAAGGCTTAGGTAGGAGAATGTTGAAGGTGGAATGACTTGATTTTTTTAAGCTTTTTGTAACTAGGGGGCTGTAATAAAAAATCTATTTGTAAGACCCATTTTAGAAGAGACAGGATTCACACTGGTCATGTAGACTCTGTTTTTATCAAGTTATATTTCAGGGAACATACTTTCTTAAGGAAAAATTGGGACATATGATCTGATTTAATTCAACATGTCAAATCCTATAAAGCTTTAAAAATGAAGCCAGGTTTAATTATACATTTAGCACCTTTTGGAATAGGAGAAGATGAGGAATGCAGGGTATGCCCTGGAATCGTGTTCAGGTGCGTGAGCAGCGTGCGAACTGACTCGCGGTTCCTTGTGTCCTGCTGTGTATCTATTAGGTAGTCGTGAAGGTAACAATGCTAGCTTCTGATGTAATGTCTTCAAGACTGTTGTTTTGTTATGGTAGCTCTACCAAAATAGAGACCAGGGGTTTTCTTTAAAACTTTGTTCTTTAGGCATTAAAAACAACTTAGATTTGTATATAGCTCTGCACAAGTGTAATGCAGAACTTTCTTCTGAATAAGCTTTTCATGGGTAAACTTTTAGACTTCAGTTCAAAATAATGTTTTAACTTGCACGTACAGGCAGAAACTGCCATATTTTTTATTGCTAGTTAAGTGTTAATAGAATCAACAGTATTAAGATACTTTTATAAGCTAGTCTTCCTGTTACTATTAACACCTTTCATGTTGTTTCACTGTTTGCATTTCAGTCTTACAGCCACCAGCACGGTGAGAAAGAGAAGTCTGAGTCCCAATCAAGCAGACACGGGCTCAGAGGCCAGAGTATCAGAAGAGATATCTGACCCTGAACTTGAGCAGACAGATACCTGTGCAGAATCTCCCTCGGAGAGAAGGAAAAAGACTAAGAAATTTAAAAGAATGAAGAAGGACCATTCTCCAGCAGGTTTGGATTGGCTCTTTCTAAAGTTCTAGAGTTGTGTACTCTTCAGTGCTGCAGAAACGCATTTTTGTGGGAAAAGTCACAGCAGGGCTTCAGTTGGTAGCAAGGCCCATGTCTTGTTCCACGGGACCAGATGTTGTTAGGACCGTTTAAGTAATTTGAGGAATCCCTTAAAAGCCATAGCTCTCAACAAGAAGGGGGGTTAGGGCGGGGGGGCTCGATGGTTAGTCCATTTGGTACCTTCTCTGCCTTCTCCATGGTTTAGAGGTTTTGCTGATGTGTTTAAAGTAGCCTCTGTATTTTAAATGTACATTTAAGTTTGCATGGAGTCCTACTCCTACACATGCTATTTTCAGTAGCAGTTTTCACTGTTCCCACGAAAACCCAGGCAGCCTGGATTTCTCTCATAAGCAGAATTATATAAGGAGCAAAGGAAACAGGAAATTAGCACATGTTGAAAGCTTACTATGTGCTGGATGCTGTAATAGGAGTCTTTTTCTCTCCTTATTTAATTTCATTTTCACAACAGCCCAGATGTAGGAAATTACTGTCTTTGTTTTAGCGATTCAGGTGTCTGGGCTCAGGGAGGTAGAGAAACACATGCAGGTCCATGTAGCTGCTAGTAAGCAGCAGACCCAGAGGTGAACCCAAGCCCACCCAAAGCCAAAACACACGTCTTCTCTGCCACCCATTTATGCTCTAGGGGGTCCATGGCCTAACCCAGTCCTTCATACCAGGCTCTGTGCAGGGCTGGAGTGCGAGGGAGGGAGGGGCTTGCCTGTCACATCCAGCCATAACCTGGTGAGGCAGCAGTCAAGGTGACAGTAATTACAGCCGCTGACTGAGTGTTTGCCAAGGATTTGCATGGACACCTAATGCTTAACAGAAATTCTTTTTTTTTAATGTATTTTATTGATTATGCTATTACAGTTGTCCCATTTTCCCCTTTATTCCCCTCCGCCTTGTACCTTCCCAACGTTCCCCCGCCCTTAGTTCATGTCCATGGGTCCTACATATAAATTCTTCAGCCTCTCCATGTCCTATACTATTCTTACCCTCCCCCTGTCTATTTTGTGCCTACCATTATGCTTCTTATTCTCTGTACCTTTTCCATATCTTCCCCCTCCCCCTCCCTGGTGCTAACCCACCATGTGATCTCCATTTCTCAGATTCTGTCCTGTGCTAGTTGTTCGCTTAGTTGGTTTTTGCTTTTTTGTTTTGTTTTTTAGATTCAGTTGTTGATAGTTGTGTTTGTTGTCATTATACTGTTAATAGTTTTTGATCTTTTCCTTAGGTAAATCACTTTAACATTTCATATAATAAGGGCTTGGTGATGATGAACCCCTTCAACTTGACCTTATCTGGGAAGCACTTTATCTGCCCTTCCATTCTAAATGATAGCTTTGCTGGGTAGAGTCATCTTGGATGTATGTCCTTGTCTTTCATGACTTGGAATACTTCATTCCAGCTCTTTCTTCCCTGTAAGGTTTTTTTTTTTTTTTTTTTGAGAAATCAGTTGATAGTCTCATGGGAACTCCTTTGTAGGTAACTGTCTCCTTTTCTCTGGCTGCTTTTAAGATTCTCTCCTTATCTTTAATCTTGGGTAATTTAATTATGATGTGCCTTGGTGTGTTCCTCCTTGGGTTCAACTTCTGTGGGACTCTCTGAGCTTCCTGGACTTTCTGGAAGTCTATTTCCTTTGCCAGATTAGGGAATTTCTCCACTATTTTTTCAAATAAGTTTTTAATTTGTTGCTCTTCCTCTTTTCCTTCTGGCACCCCTATGATTCACACATTGAAATGTTTAAAGTTATCCCAGAGGTTCCTAAGCCTCTCCTCATTTTTTTGAATTTTTCTTTCTTCATTCTGTTCTTGTTGAATGTTACTTTCTTCTTTCTGCTCCAAACCATTGGTTTGAGTCTCAGTTTCCTTCCCATCACTGTTGGTTCTCTGTGCATATTACTTTAATTTACTTTTCATAGCCTTCACTTTTCCCTCTATTTTGCAACCATACTCAACCGTTTCTGTGAGCATCGTGATTACCAGTGTTTTGAACTGTGCATCAGATAGGTTGGCTGTCTCTTCATCTCTTAGTTGTATTTTTTCTGGAGTTTTGATCTCTTCTTTCATTTGAGCTGTATTGTTTTGTCTCTGCAGGCCTGTTATGTAGTAAGGGGCAGAGCCTTAGGTATTCATCAGGGCAGGGCAATCCACATTGCTGTGTTGTGGCGCTGTATGTGGTGGAGGGTTCTGAGAGGGAATGGTGCCACTTGCTCAGGTCTCTGGCAGGCTTTCAATCATTTCCTCCACTACCCACAAGCAAATTAGGCCCTTCTGGTACTGATTTCTGGATGGGTGGGTTTGTGTACATTCTAGGACCTTGTAGGTCTCTCCAGCGAATTCTCCTGTAAGGCTGGGAGTTTCTCTAACTGCTGCAACCTTCACAGGTTTTTCTGTCAGAGGTTTTGGGGCTTTTATTTTCCCTGCACTGGAACCCTTGGTTGTGTGATCTGTCTCACTCCCCAGTTGTTCCTCCCAATTTATCCACATTCAAATGTGGGACCACCCTTTCTGCCAGCCACCACCTTGTCTGGTTCCCCAGCAGCCACCTTGCCATGAGTCCTCTCCATCCCAGCTGCCCATCTCCACCCCTCCTACTGGTCTGGATGAATGTTTCTTCTTTAACTCCTTGGTTGTTAGACTTCCATACAGTTTGATTTTCTGGCCATTTTGGTTGGTTTTTGTTTTTAAATTTTTTGATGTCCTCCTTTTGGTAGTGTGAAGAGGTACAGTGTGTCTATGTATGCCTCTGTCTTGGCCAGAAGTCAGAAATTCTTTCATTTGAATATCTGAGGTAGTCATCATGAGCTGATTTGTAATTAAGAAAATGAGACCTAAAAGATTACATGACTTGCCCACGGTCCTGGAGCCCTTGATTCTGTATAAGAAAGCCGGTGCTTGTAAGCATAGTTATGTATTGTCTGCTCTGGATAAGAGGGGCACCAACCTAGCTGCCATAATTCCTTCCCTGTACCTCTTACATCGTGACAGTTGTCATGCTCAGCAGAGTGCTCAGCGGAACCAACAATCAAGTTGAAGGTAGTAGAGCAGTGGAACTTGACTCATACCCAAGCTAGGAACTTGTGTTTCAGTTAATTCCTTTTTTCGCATGTGGTCCAGTCTAACTGTAGGGAGTTTTCTGTATCTCACTGATAATGAAATAAAAAAAGCAGCAAAATGTCACAGAAGCTTTTTGTACAGTCTGTTGAGACCTAACTTAAATGAAAACTTTTGAAACCTGGATTATATATTTGAACTGTCTTTTTGAATGGGGGTATCTCCTTTTACTTGCCTCCCTTTCTTTCCTTAAAATAAGTATTGGAGAAGTTTTTAATCTGTAGCATACCGAGTCTTCATCTGTGACACCTTGTTACCACTGCCAATTGTACCTGCTCAACATGTTAAATATTAAATGTTAGTATAACTTTTAGAGATCACCCTGAGCATCCTTTCCTTCATATCTCATTCTCTTTTGAATTTTTCAGCTTATCTGTTACTTGTCAGGGACAAGATTTCAGTTTTTACCTTCTATCTCAGCGTATCTTAAAGGTATTAAAATTAAAATACCTAATAATAGACTGCATTAATAGATTAGCTCCTTTTATAACTTTCATCATTTTAAGTGAAAACTTTATATGAGTTATTGGGGTTTTGAATTTATAATACCATCATTAAAATAGGGATTTTCCCCCTCTCCCATTGACAGTAAAGCTGTCACTGCTACAAGATGTGAGCTAGAAAAAAATGATAGATTTTGTACTTCATTGTCAGTGCTGCTAAAAAAGAGAGAGACATCTTGACAACTTTTAATTGAACTAGAGAACTTGAGAGAATTGAGCTTTCTTCTGGAGCATGCTCACTGAGTAAGACCTTCCATCAGTGCCCAGGCAGAAGTATGATGGACCCTTTTCAGCTGGTTTGTTGTGCTGAGTCCTAATAGTATGAGCAGGATGTAGGTCAAGTGATCAGATGCTGAAGTTGTTGAAACAGCCAACTTTGACTGCCCAGTTACTTTAATAAAGTCCTGTAATACTGAGAGTACAAAGGCCAGCCCTGGGAAGTGTCTGTCTGTGTTCCACTCTCACACTCCAGGAACCTCGAGGGCCTAGTCTGGGTGTTGGCTGGAACTGCGTTAGAGTGTTCTGTATGGCATGGACAGTCTGTCCCACAGACATAGGCTAAGGTGTCAAGTCTGGGCTCTTCTCCTGGGGAGAGTGTCTTGACAGGTACTCAGGGATTCACAGAGGTGTGCTGGGTGCCCAGCACGGTCAGTGAAGGCATGAAAAACATGAAAAGTGGTGCTTCATCTTTAGGGAATTTTCTCTTTTCCAAGGAGGAGGTAGCAAAAAGTAATACCATAGAATCATCTACCATGGCAATCCTGGGACAGAGGAAGCTCAATAAACTCCACACAAAACAGTGCCGTTTTTCTTAGTTAATACATTTAAATATCTAGGGTACGTGAAGAGTTGAGTATTAGATCCCTTTCTAGGTAACAAAATGACCCAAATTACCATTTAAATTTAAATAATAATACCAGACATTGTACTGGGAATGTCCTTAGTAACCTTGTTAATCCTTATAAAAACCCAGTAAGGTATACATACTCAATTTCTATAGGAAACCAAGGCTCAAAGAGTTACAAACTGCCAAAGTCAAATATAGCTGGGGGTAGGGCGGGTGCTGTCCAATTCAGAGCCCGCACATTGCACACTCTGCAGTGTGTGAGGTTTAGAGGAAGCAAAGGAGTCTTTATGTACAAAAGTGAGTATTTCTGGCAGCTGTTCTGGATCAGAAACAGTTAACCAACCTCAACTTTCAAATGATGAAATCATGTGATAAAAATCTAAGCGACCACTCTCCTTTAAAGCTTCTGTTTTATGTACATATTATACATGTAATAAATATTTTTCTCTTAGGCTTTGTTGTTTCCATCCTGTTTTT